AGAAAAAGAAAAAAAATGCATGTTCTGACTTGGTACTCTGCATTTCTAAAAGGTCTTTGAACCCTGCCTTGAATAGTAAGGCTATGAATTAATAACACAAAAAGGAAATAGAAAAGCAAACATTATCTTTATTTCATAATCTTTGATATTTAAAATACACCTCATTGAACATCCACATTAACAACAGAATCCTCAGCATTCAACATTGCTTTGGAAGCCCGGCTTTCAAAGGACCAGACGGGAAGGCCTGTGTGTGTATTAACAGCAAACCAACTTAGGAGAGACGAGCACATACAGAGTTGGTTCCTGAGCAAACAGCACTGCCACAGTGCACTTGTATCATGGCCAAAGATGATGCTTTTTTTATTTCACATGGTTTCTGTACTTGAATTTCAAATATTTATACAGAAGAGTAATTTTTTAAAAAGTTATTCCTAGTAGTCCAGTGTTACAAGATTAATCACATTTGCAATGTGCATTTTCGTCTTTTGAAGAAAAAAACATTACAAAGATTCCAGGAAACATTCACCTTTGAACTATGCACAAGACGAATAAGCGCTTCCTAAACAAATCAGGAATGTCCACATATATTTCACTAATGTTTCCCACTTGCTTTGTCTAACAGTCTTAACATTGTTTTAGATACACTATTATTAAACATGCCAATTACCTTAAATTTAGAAGCTATGTTTTTAGCATTAATCCTTAAAATGCCAGGCCATTTTGGAAAAGTAAATATAGCAAAGGTTTTCTTCAAATTAAAAATAAAATCAAAATTCAAGAATTAACCAGTCATGTCAAAATGTTTTCATTCATGAAAGTAAAATGCAAAAATATTTTTATTATGTTTAAGACTTCAATAAACAATATAAAGTCAGCTCATTTATTTATTAGCAAAAGATGCTGATTATAAAGGACTTGGGAACGAAAGGGTTTTTTGAGACAGAGTCTCAGTCACTCTTGATAGTGCTGTGGCATCATAACTCACAGCAACCTCAGACTCTTGGGCTCAAGCAATTCTCTTGCTTTGGCCTCCCAAGTAGCTGAGACTAGAGGCACCTGCCACAACACCCAGCTATTTTTAGAAATAGGGCCTTGCACTGGCTCAGGCTGGTCTTGAATCTGTGAGCTCAGGCAATCCACCCACCTTGGCCTCAGGAATGCAAATTTTTACTTTGAATATGAAAAAAAAAAGATTATGTACACTGCTGAAATGATTCATTCATCTGATATGGTTTTTCTTAATTAAAGTTAGAGCTCACATCTCCATACCTATTGGGGTCCAGATAGAACAAACAATTCATATTAAAAATAGTGGCCTGAAGCCTCTTCAATTCTGAATAGATTTTTTTTTTTAATTTTAGTAGCTGGCAGATAAAGTTTTTAATAGGATCTCAATATTAACTATTGAATCCTAAGAATCTAAAACATCAAGATTTAGTTTTCAACTTAAGATTCTTAAATCATGTTTTGATTATGTACTGAATCAATCTTTTTTGGATTTGTACAGGTCCAATGTGCCATTTAAAAAAATTTAGTAACTCTTGATTTTGAAAATAGTATCAAACATGTAGACATTCAAGATGTGATTTAGGCTCTGACTAGAATAAAATTTATTTTATTCAACTTGATATTAAATAAAACAATATAGATTACTGGTAGTTTTGCCTACAACTTTGGCATTATGAATAAAGCATTAGGAAAAATCAAGTTTTTTTTTAAAAAAAAGCACCTCCTTAAAGAAAATATTCTGTAAATTATAAGTTATTTGGCCAAGATCTTAAAAGTTTAAATACAGCGTTTACCTGCAGCAACCTTTTCAAACAATTTATATTACTGAAATATTTGCATGCTAATTACTGTAAAAAATGTATATTGATGGTTTTACATCAGAGATTACTCTGAATTCTTAAAACATAAATAACTACTTACTAAATTCGTTGACATCTGAAAATATGAAAATGGTATTGCCGAAGTTTGTTTAAACTTTAAAACACTAGTATTACCACTGTACATATTTTATCCCAGTAATACAAATTATACATTAGAAAAATGATACCAATAGTTTAAATATTAAACATTAAGGTGTTCCCAATTGGTAAAACAGAATGGAAATCTTTATAAGATTCTTAGCAGGACAGTTCTTGTGAATTTCATTGTTCCCAACTTTCTTGCAAGTGGTCTACAGTAAATGGCAGTTCCTGATGAGTAAACTACATAGCTTTGTATAACTTCTACACCTTTTTATTTTTGAGACAGAGTCTCATTCTGTTGCCCCAGGCTAGACTGCCAATGATGATAGCCTAACTCACAGCAACCTCAAGTTCATGGGCTCGAGTGATCCTCTTGCTTTAGCTCCTGAGTAGCTGCAACTATAGGGGCCCACCACAGTGCCTGGCTAATTTTTCTATTTTTAGTAGAGACAAAGTCTCCCTCTTGCTTAGGCTAGTCTCAAACTCCTGAGCTCAAGCAATACTCCCACTTTGACTTCTCACAGTGCTAGGATTACATGTGTGAACCACCACAGCCAGCCTAAACTGTTTGATACTATGGTTTTAAGTATTGACATCTCTTCTTATTGGCCAATCAATTAAGAAATGGAATCTAAATATTCATTAAATTTAAGCCAATCCAAACAATATGGCAGTTCATCAGTGTTTTGGGATCTGCCTGCCAAATAGAACAATTTCAAAACAAACTAAACAACACATTCAAACATATCCAGTGTGTGCTCAGCTCTGCTTAAAAAGTCCTTAACAACTAAAAGTTATCATACTACTATATTTTCTTAAGTGCTTTAACTAGGGTATATAATATATGAACTTTATAAATTGTAAAGTTAAAACTTTAAATGCATATTGCTCTTCTATTTTTATGTTACGTAGCTCATCAAATGAATGAAGTTTAATGTAACTTTTCAATGGGAAAAGGCAATAGCCAAATATCCATGGATAATATTATGTGACTAACATACTTGGGGTATTACATACCTGTTTAGTATTAAAATATTTATTTTTGTAAATCTGAAATTAGTACTATTAAACTCATCCCTTGCACTTTTAATTCTACAAAAACATTTTCAACTGTTAAAACTTTTATTTTTCCTTTTGAGACAGACTTTCACTGTTACCCAGGCTAGAATGCCATGACATCAGCCTAGCTCACAGCAACCTCAAACTCTTGGGCTCAAGCAATCCTCCTGCCTCAGCCTCCCAAGTAGCTGGGACTACAGATGTCCACTACAATGCCCAGCTAGTTTTTCTATTTTTTTGTAGAGATGGGGGTCTCTTGCTCAGGCTAGTGTTGAACTCCTGAGCTCAGGCAATCCACTGAGTAGCTGGGACTACAGATGTCCACTACAACCCCCAGCTAGTTTTTCTATTTTTCGTAGAGATAGGGGTCTCTTGCTCAGGCTAGTCTTGAACTCCTGAGCTCAGGCAATCCACCCAGCTCAGCCTCCCACAGTGTTAGGATTATAGGTGTGAGCCACCACATCCAGCCTAAAAGAAAACTTCAGATTTTAAAATTGTTTAAATTTTGTGTAAGGGAAACTTCAGAAAACTTTAATTGGCACAAAATGACTAAAAAATCTCTTATCTAAGAAAAAGCTATTTCAAATAATCATAAATAAAAGATATTTTTCATCTCTTTCATTTAGCAATCCTAGATTCAAAAACTTTCCCTGATAAAATATGTGCAGTCATACTATACTTTATTTACCTTGTCAGCTAAAATTTCTTCTTAAATTTTAGCCTATGAACAATTCAACATTCAAAAGGTGATGGAGAAGAGATAACAGCATCTAAAACACCCATTTCAGAGAGACATGGTTTTCAGGAAAATCCGATTTTTGTTCTGAACCCACAAAGAACTCTCAGTACATTTCAATTAAAAAATATTTGTCAAAACTAAAGACTTTCACTTTGCAGCTTCCACTGCCATGTTTTGTAGGGCAGCTGTGCTTGGGAGGCTCGTGCCTGCGGCTGCACTGCTCTCTGGTAAAGGCGCATAGTTAGAGTAGCCGAGACCTCTGGACTGGGCTAGGGCTTCTGGTACAGTCAGGGGAGCTGAGCCCGAGCCGTGGCCAGTACAGTGGTAGCAGCTGGACTAACCATTACTCCTGCAAGATTTGTACATCATCATGTTTTGCAAGCTGTGAAGCACATAGAGCCTCAAGTAAAACAAGTTTTTTGAAGTCTAACAAAATCCACCTTCAATGACAACTATTAATAGAGGTGGGTTTGAACCCAAAATGACAAAATGGGAAGCAGTATTAATACTAGGTGTAAGCCCTACTGCCAGTAAGGGAAAAATAGGAGATGCTCATCAATGAATTATGCTCTTAAATCACCCAGACAGAAGAGGATCTCCTCATATAGCAGCCAAAATCAATGAAGCTAACGATTTACACTAGAAGGCTAAGCTAAAATATGAAATAAATGTATGATGAATTTTAAGTTCACATTGGTTTGTATATATGAGTGCCAACTTTTTATAATACAATGCCTTAGAGGTACAGTTTCTAAAAATGAAAAAAAAAAAACTATGTACTTTCTTATAAACAGACCCACTAAGGCTGTGACTTCCATAATTCTTAAGCTATCTAAACATGATGCACGGTAAATATATTTTTGTTAGTAAGTTACTTTCATGTTCCAGATCGCCATCTCCAGCAAGCAATACATACTAACAGATGTGAAGCAGACATGTATATTCCATGACATAAATGTAAATAGAAAAAAAGGCTCCAGTCACATGACAAAAAAATATGAAACTGCTATTAAAACTGAAGGCCAATTTCATCTACCATACATTCATGGTGGGTATATATGTTAAGTTTTATAACAGAAGGAAGCTTGCTTGCATTACTATGCTCGTAGTTTTTCTCACTTGGAGAAGTAAGAGAATAATAAGGCGCAGGGAAAGGGGGTTACAACAAAGCTGTAAAGTTCTAACATAATTGAAAAGCATCTGGGAAAGCATGTGCTCACACATTTTTTAAATGTTCATTTATTCTCAAATACTTGCACAAGACTGATTTCAGAGTTTAGGAATGCACTGGAGTCTAAACCAATGATCCCATCATAGAGGGTTTAAAAAGTAAAATCTCAGAATAGATTACCATCTTTCAAAAGAGCTGTACAAAAATAATGAAACCAGGTACCAGAAAAATTGTGATCAGAGGAAATAACACGAGAAAAACACTCAAGTGCACAATACATAGTTGAAGGGAGAACCGTTTATCCTTCTCGAACCATTACTACTATCAACACAGAAAAGACATACTTTCCTGAAAGGTTAATTTGGTTAATGAGAAATAGAGGCAACTATGATGAAAGTGAGCCAAACTACCTATCACAGAACAGAGAAAAAGAAAACCAAACTATGAAAAAAGTTTTGTGGCAAGAGCTAGTTGGTCTGCAAAAATGCTCAAAACAATGCCCTCATTTTAGACATGCTAGATATTGCACACTTAAAAACATAAAAGGAACTTTTAGAAAACTATTTTAAATTTCTTTAATTGCTGAATGCCTCTTTGGCTAGTATTGAAAGGATCATTGTTTGACATTTAAAGGATCATTATTTAGTCTCACCACTGTCACATTTTTCCACTTTGTCATCAGTTTGTTTGCAACCCACCTAAAAGTCTTAATTTTCTCATCTATTTGACACATTACCACAATGGACCCTATGTTGTAATCACGCAGGATAATGTTGGAAAGTATGAATAAGCGAAATGATTTTTTAAAAGGTATTATTTTTTCCCTTCTGTTTTCAAATTATTTCTAACAGTTTCTAAGGACATGGTCACAGCTGCCCGAAGCATATCTTCTTCACTCATAGCATCACCTGTTGGGAAAAAACACACACACACACACATTTCTTAAGAAATTTTTGGAAAATTCTCAAAGTCATCAAAGGTAGCTCTTAGAAAATGTATTCATATTTGAGGACAAGTTTCCTTTTTAGGGGGGGAACAGGGTCTCACCTTGTTCCCCCGGCTAGAGTACAAGTGGCATTAACAAAGCTCCCTGCAACCTCAATTCCTGGTTCAGGCAATCCTCCTGACTCAACCCCTTACATTGATGGGCCCATAAGCAGACATCACCATGGTCAGCTCATTTTTTGTCCCTTTTGTAGAGACAGGGTCTCACTATGAGCTCAGACTCAAACTTCTGGTTTCAAGTAATCCTCTAACCTTGGCCTCTGAAAGTGCTGGGATTACAAGTGTGAGCTACCATAACTGGCCCTTTTTCATTTTTTAATTCATGTTAAATTCACTTTCATAGTTCTATAGTTTGTGGTGTTGTTTTTTTTGTAGAGACAGAGTTTCACTTTGTCGCCCTCGATAGAGCACCAGAGGCGTCACACAGCTCACAGCAACCTTCAACTCCTGGGCTTAAGTAATTCTCTTGCCTCAGCCTCCCAAGTAGCTGGGACTACAGGCGCCTGCCACAACACCCAGCTATTTTTGGTTGCAGTTCAGCTGGGACGGGGCTTGAACCCGCCACCCTTGGTATATGGGGCCAGCGCCCTACTCACTGAGCCACATAGTTTTTGATAAACACACAGGGTTGTAAAACAAACAGCATCATCAAGATAGAGAACTGTTCCCTGACCCAGAGGAACAGTAAAATTCCCTTACGTAGTAGCCCTCTTGTGGCCAATCCCCAATCCCAGATGACCAATGGTATGTTCTCTGATAGTTTAACTTTTCCTGCTTGTCAGATAAATGGGATTACACAGTATGAGAACTGTTGAGACTTTTTTGGACTCAGCATAATGCCCTGTCCCTGAGTTCCACCCAAGTTGCTCCTGGTATCAATATTTGGTTTCCTTCTAGTCCTGAAAGTAGTTTTCCATGTTATTGATGTATTATAGTTTTGTTTAACCATTCACCTCCTGTAAGACATTCTGGTTGTTTATAGTTTTTAATTATGACAAATGAAGTCGCTATGCATAAGCAAGCATTCATGTACAGGATTTTGTCTGGATGTAAATTTTCATTTCTCTGGGACAAAACCCTAGGAGTGTAAATGTTGTGTCATATGGTCAGATTATGTTCAGTTTTTTAAGAAACAAATTCTTGGCTGGATGCTCACATCTGTAATCCTAGCACTCTGGGAGGCTGAGGCAGGTGGACTACCTGGGTTTGAGAGCAGCCTGAGCCAGAGCGAGACCCTGGGCGCTGCAGCGAGCTGTAGGTAGTAATCCCAGCTACTTGGGAGGCTGAGGCAAGAGAATCGCATGAGCCCAAGAGTTTGAAGTTGCTGTGAGCTATGACGCCACAGTACTCTACTGAGGGCTACAAAGTGAGATTCCATCTCAAAAAAGAAAAAGAAACAAATTCTTTTCCAAAGTGGCTACACCAGTTCAAATGAAATATAGAAAGCCTGTGTTCCTTTATGTCCCCTGACCCTCCTTCATTTATAACAAATGCATTAAATATTTCCTATACACATACTGCAAAAAAAGTTAATGTTCTAATTTGTGCTTCAACCATCAAACATAAATGAGAAAATTCAAAAAGAGGGAAAAGTCTGTTGCGGTTACCTGTTCTACCTTCCTTTCTCATGTTCCAAAATTACTTCTTTATCATTTTTTCATAGAGAACTTTCATTAGCCATTCTTTTAGGCGAGGTCTCCTGAAGACAAATTCTGTTCATCTTCCATTCACTCTTGAAGGATATTTCACTGGGCTTAGGAGTTTTTTCTTTCAGTACTAAAAAAATGTTGTACCACTTGCTTCAGGCCTCCATGATTTCTGATGAGAAATCTACTGTCATTCAAATCACAATAGGTAAGGAAATTTCTTTTTTTTTGCAGTTTTTGGCCGAGGCTGGGTTTAAACCCACCACCTCTGGTATATGGGGCCAGCGCCCTACTCCTTTGAGCCATAGGTGCCGCCCAAGGTAAGGATATTTCTTACTAATTTCAAAATTTTTGTATTTCCTCTTCAATTTTCAGAAATCTTACTATGATATGTCTTGGTATAAATTTCTTGGGCTGTCTGAGGTTCATCCAGCTTCTTCAATCTACCAGTTTTTGTTTTTTGCCAAATTTGAGAAGTTTTCAGCCGTAATTTACTTCTTCTAATTCTTTTTCAGCCCCACCCTCTATCTCCTGAGACTCTCATGACACAGATTTAGGTCCTTTTGCCACAGGTCTCTTAAGGCTCCATTCTTTTTTCCAGTCTCTTTACTCTCTGTTATTCAGAATGGGTAATTTCTATTGTTCTGTCTTCAAGCTCACTGATTCTGTCCTTTCCATTCTGCTGTTGAGTCAATACCCCGCATTCTTAAAATTTCAATTATTGTTATTTTTCAATTTGAAAATTTGTATGGGGTTCTTCTTTGTAACTTGTGTTTCTTTACTAAAACTTTCAATTTCTTCATTTGCCCCACGCATGTTCATTATAATTACTTGCTGAAGCAATTTTATGATGGATGCTTTAAAAATCTTAGAGAGCCCGGTGCAGTGGCCCACACCTATAGTCCCAGCTACTCGGGAAGCTGAGATGGGAGGGATCACTTGACCCCAGGAGTTTGAGACCAGCCTCGGTAAAAAATCAAGATCCCAGATCAAAAAATAAAATAAAATCAAAAATAGAAAGCTGACTCGTCTTAAGAAAAGAGAAAACATATCTTACTGGAGTTAGATGATATCTCAAAGTAGTTTTGATTTGTGTTTCTCTAATGATTAAAGATGAGGACCTCACCTAATGTAATGATACATTTCAAAACTATTAAGAATAGAGTAGAAATGTCTTACCACAACAAATAAGAGGAGATGGTTATGTTCATCCACATTGTATATCAAATCAGCACACTGTACCCCATAAATGCATTAATGTACACAGTTATGATTGAATAAAGAATAAAAGAGAAAAGGCAAATCCTTATCATGTGTTGATTGTATTTTCTCATTCAAGTTGAGATTTTTCTGGTTCTTGGTATGATGAGTGACTTTTGACCGCATCTTAGACATTTTGGGTACTATGTTGTCTTACTTAAATCTTTTGTTGTAGCAAGATTTCCCCACCTCTGACACAGCACTGGCAGGAAAAAGGGAGAGCCACCTTGCTACTGCTGGATGGGAATAAAAGTCTAGGTTCTTTCAAGGTCTCTGATGACGAAGGGTGGTGGTGGAGGTGAGGAACCACTGCTATAGAATGCAAGTAGGAGGTCTGGCTCCCCACTGGTCCTCCACTGATCTCTCTCTGGGAAGAGAGGAGGCCCTTGTTATTGTTCCCCATGTGGCCTCCACTGACACTGGTAGGTATATAGCAGTCTTGATTCCCCACTAGGCATCTTCAGTGACATCACCCATGTGGGGAGCCAGAGAGGTGCCTACTTATTACCTGGCTCCCTGTGACCACTAATACCACAGGAAAGGGATCCTCATTACCTTATAGAGGGAATGAAATCCCAGCTCCCTATTTGGCTTTCTCTGACACCACGCTGGCTGAGGAAGTGGAGAAGTGTATATCATTTCTGCCAAAGTGGGGTACAAATCTGGGCTCCAGGGATAGTTTATTCTGTGGTTTTGATTGGACTAACATGTTTACTATCTAAAAGGTTTTGTCTTGCTAGACAGTCCCATTTGGCTAGAGCAGGCATCCTCAAACTATGGCCCGTGGGCCACATGCAGCCTGTCTAAGATATTTATCTAGCCTGCCAGGTGTTTTTGCCGCCACTGCCTGTCCTGCTTAGCAGCCAACTCGTCCTGGGGCCTGCAGTCCGGCCCTCCAATGGTCTGAGGGACGGTGAACTGGCCCCCTGCTTAAAAAGTTTAAGGACCCCTGGGCTAGAGAGAACCAGCTTACTTGGGAATTTTCTCTTAGTCTGTGCCTAAGACTTCTCTAGCACCAAGTTCAGAATATGTGAGGCAAAAAGAAAATCCAGACCACTCACCCCCACCATGTTGTTTCTCTATATAAAGTCCCTAGATAATCTGTCTTCTTTTCACCTTTGAGATTTTGTTTGTTTTACACAAATGTCCAGGGTTTTTAATTGTACTTAACAGGAGGCATAGGGAAAAGTTCCAGTTCATTCCTTTTAGTAGGAATTCAGTTGTTCAGAATAATTCAGGTGTCCTCAAACTACAGCCCACCGGCCACGTGCGGCCCGCCTAGGACATTTATCCGGCCTGCTGGGTGTTTTTGCCACCACTGCCTGTCCTGGTTAGCAGCCGATTCGTCCCTGGGCCCACAGTCCAGCCCTCCAGCAGTGTGAGGGACAGTGAACTAGCCCCTTATTTAAAAAGTTTGAGGACCCCTGGTTTAGATGTGCCATAGCTTGTACAACCATTCACCAAACGATCAACATTTAGACAATTTCCAGTTTTTGACAATTATGAATAAAGCTGCTGTAAGCTTTCAAATATAAGTTTCTGTTTGAACCTCAGTTTTCTGTTTTCTTGGTTATAGTACATAGTAGTGGGACTTCTGGATCACATGGTTAATTGTACATTTAAGTTTATTAAAAAATGCCAAACTGTAGTCAGGCACCTGTAGTCCCAGCTACTCAGGAAGCTGAGGCAAGAGAATCACCTAAGCCCAGGAGCTGGAGGTTGCTGTGAGCTGTGTGATACCACAGCCCTCTACTGAGGGCTAGAAAGCAAAACTCTGTCTCTACAAAAAGGAAAAAAAATGCCAAACTGGTTGCCAAAGTTGCTATACTCTTTCATATTTTTTTCTTGTTTTTTTTTTTTTGAGACAGAGTCTCACTTTGTTGCCCTCAGTAGAATACTGTGGCATTATAGCTCACAGCAACCTCAAACTCTTGGGCTTAAGTGATTCTCTTGCCTCAGCCTCCCAAGTAGCTGGGACTACAGGCACCCACTACAACGCCTAGCTATTTTTTCTTTTTTGGTTGTAGTTGTCATTGTCATTTGACAGGCCTGGGCTGGATTTGAACCCGCCAGCTCCGGTGTATGTGGCTGGCACCCTAGCCGCTGGAGCTATAGGCACCAAGCCTCTTTTACATTTTCACTAACTTGCTCTGATTCTTACCAGTATTTGGTATTGTTCGTTTCATTATTTTTATTAGGGCATACTTATAGGTGTATAGCAATATCTCATTGTGGTTTTATGTGCATTTCTCTAATGACTAGTGATAAGCATCTTTTCATGTGCTTTTTATCATCCCTATATCTTATCTGGTGAAATATCTTTTCAAGTCCTTCAGCCATTTATTGAGTTATTTTCTTATTGTTCAGGTATGAGAGTTCTTTACATATTCTTCTTTTTTTTTTTTTACATATTCTTCTTATAAATCCTCTGTCAGGATTTGACTTCAACTTCCATAATTAGCCAATACTTAAGTCCAAAGCCTGATAAGCACCTCTATACTTTCTGTTGTTATTGAGATTATACTCAAGTATTTTCCCTTTTTAGATGGTAAAATATACTTAAGATATCTGAGGATTTTTTGGAGAAGATACAAATTACTATAAAGTTGAAAGTATTATGTTAAAATGAAATACTCATTGAATCTCTAGTCTGCCTGCTCAGAGAAATTCAGTAGATTACAAATTCATTAAAGACATTTAATATGATTAAAAAGAGAAAAAAATATTACAAAATAAAATCTGTGTGTCAACAGAGCATGCAGGCAATAAACATGATGAATCGTCAAAGGGCTGTACCTAGATCACTCCCAGGTGCTCCTGAACTTGTGGTTGGCCTTTCACGTGGATGTGAAATCTGCCCTGGTGGATCTACCTCCCGCTTCTGCTGCTGCTGCTGTTGCTGCTGCTGCTGCTGCCTGAAACATTCAAAAGTGAACATATGTTAAAAAAACAAAACTTAAGTATAATTATACCATGGGAAAGAATATTCACATGGAAAATAAATTATTTCACAAATCAAAATAGTCACTGGCATGAACGTGACGAACGAATAATTAGTTTGCGTAATGAAGTGCTGATCCTAGGAAACCTAGATATGAAATTTGAATTTATTAAACAAATTGAGAGATAAGTATTTTCACCACCAAAAAAATCTATTATATGAAAAGGTTCATTGGTAACTACTCTTATGCAAATCAGTGTTGGTTTACAGACCCTTAAAATTGTTAGAAGCCACTGAAAATAAGCACCTTTCAGAAGACAAGGTATCTCAAATTACCATGTAAGTTAATGTGATCTCTCCATAGCTGGCTCCGTGTCATTCAGGTTGGAGCTTTAATAACACCCGGATGCCTTTCCTGACCACCCACCTGACAGAGCCACCTGGCATTCTATCTCAGCATTTCGTTTTATTCTCAGCTTAAACTTATCATCATCTGCTACCTATACTCTTCTGTTTGTCTCTCCCTTTGGAATGTAAGCTAATGGAACACAAACCTTATCTTGTTTATCTGTTTCACCGGTGCCTAAACCTATGCCTGTCACATAGTAGGCATTCACCAAATACTTGACAAATTAAAACTATTTACCACACATTATCAAGTTTTCAATAATCTCTATTTAAAAAAAAAAAAACCAGTATCTATTGCATTAAGCTCCCCTGTATTTCTTTTTCAAAAGAAAAACAATGTCATAAATATCCACATTTTGAAATGTTTAAACATGATTAAATATGTAGGAACACATCCTTATATTTGGGAAATATACACTGAGGTACTGAGATATAATGAAAAATCATGTCTGCAAGTTATTCCCAAGTGGTTCAGAAATAATAGGGGACTTGGAGTGAAGGGTATAAGGAGCTCTGTGTACTATTTCTTTTATGTGAATTTGAAATTACAGATTAAGCATCCCAAGTCCAAAAAGCTAAAATCCAAAATACTCTAAAATTTGAAATTTTTTGAGTACTGAGACGATGTTCAAAAGAAATACTCCCTGGAACACTTCAGATTTGGGGATTTGGGGATTTGGTATGTTCACGTGTAAGGCAAATATGCCAAAATCCTAAAAAGAAATCCAAAATCTGAAACAGTTTGCAAGCATTTTGAATGAAGGATGCTCAAGCTCTATTTCATATATATAAACTCAAAAAACAGCTGACAATCTGAGAAGACACAGTTTTTCAAAATCTCCTCTGTCCCCATTTGGATACCCTTGACATCTTTCTCTTGTTTAACAGCATTGGCAACAACTTCCAGCACTATTTTGGATAGTAATAACCATAGGGGACATCCCTGTCTGCTTCCAGTTAAGTGGAAATATTTCAGTTTTACTCCATTCATTATGATGTTAGCTGTGGGTTTGTCGCAGATGCCTTCCATCAGTTTAAGAAATGTCCCTCCTATGCCTATTTTCTTAAGTATTCTTTTCAGAAAAAGATCTCTTAAGCATTCTTATAAGAAAAGATACTGAATTTTGTCAAAAGCTTTTTCTACATCTGTTGAGAAGACAATCATATGGTCTTTGGTTGCTTCCATTTAAGGTGTGAATGGCATTTATGGATTTGCATTTTTTGTTTGTTTGTTTTTGAGACAGAGCCTCACTTGGTCGCCCTCAGTACAGTGTTGTGGCGTCTTAGCTTGCAGCAACTTCAAACTCTTGGATTCAAGTGATTCTTTTGCCTCAGCCTCCCAAGTAGCTGGGACTACAGGTGCCCACCAAAATGCCCAGCTACTGGGAATAGAGTTTTTTGTAGTAATTAGTGATAATCTTTTCTTCTCTATTGTATCTGTTATTCTCCCTTTTTTGTTTCTGATTGAGGTTATTAGAGATCTTACATTTTTGTTTCTAGTTAATCTGGCCAAAGGTTTATTGATTTTATCTTTTCAAAGAAACCGCTTTTTGCTTCATTAGTTTTCTGAACTGTTCTTTTGTTCTCAATGTCATGGATCTGAAATTCTGATCTAATTTTGGTTGTATCTTTTCTTCTGCTAGTTTTGAGATTGGATTACTCTCCCCTTTTCTGGTTCCTTGAGATGATTCATTAGGTTGTTGATCTGTACTCTTTCTATTCTTTGGACGTGGACACTTAATGAGATAAATTTCCTTCTTAGGACTGCTTTTGCAGTATCCCATAGGTTTTGATAGCTTGTGGCTTCAATGTTGTTTTGTACAAAGAGTCTAGTGATTTCCCTCTTAATCTCTTCCTTGACTCAGCTATCATTCACATAAAGTTGCTTACTTTCCACAACTTTGTGTGGATATGAAAGTTTTTGCTGGAGATGAATTCTACTTTTATTCCATTATGGTCCAATAAGATACATGGTACAAAGGCCAAGCACCATGGCTCATGACTGTAATCCTAGGCCTGTGGGATGCCGAGATGGGTGGTTCGAGACCAGCCTGAGCCAGAGTGAGACTGCATCTCTAAAAATAGCCAGGCGCTGTGGTAGGCGCCTATAGTCCCAGCTACTCAGGAGGCTGAAGCAAGAAAATCACTTGAGCCCAAGAGTTTCAGGTTGCTGTGAGCTATGACGCCATAGCACTCTAACAAGGGCAACAAAGTGAGACTCTGTCTCAAAAAACAAACAAAAAAAAGATACATGGTTGTAATTTCTATTCTTTTAAATTTGTTGAGAATTGATTTGTGTCCTAGGATTCGATCAGTATTGGAGAATGGTCCACTCAGTATTACTAGGGTGGAATATTCTGTATGTGTCTGTTAAGACCATTTGTTCTAGAGTTGTGTTTTAGTCTTTTTTTTACTTAGCTTCTACTTGGAGGATCTGTCCAGTTCTGTCAGTGGAGTGTTGAAATCCCTGGCTATTATGGTGCTGCAAGATATCATATTGTTCAGATGGGTTAGGGTTCATTTTATAAATCTGGGAGCATTTGAGTTGGGCACATAGATATTTAGGATTGAAATGTCTTCTTGTTGTATTTTTCCCTTTACTAGTAGTATACAGTATCCATCTTCATCCTTCTTTACTTTTGTTGCTTCACTATGTTTTTCTTAACAGAAAGGATATGCATCATTTCAAAAGATATACCCGAAAAAGACTTTAGGAATGCTAACGTATCTGTGGAATACTTTACAAAACAGTTATATATACATTGCCTAATTTGATGCTCATAACATGTGAGTTACAGCAGGTTGTATAATGACATAGCTAATCTAATAGAGTTCTGTTTGGGATCTTATGACGGGTTAAATGGATTTCAAGATGACTGCTTAAAAAAATGTCATGGCTATGAAAATATTACTGAACAACTATTATTTGCTAACTATGGATTTGTATGTAATAGGGAGATTTTTTAAAAGTATTTTTTGCATTAGAGAGAAATCCTATAATGTTCTTTATGCATGAATACCGTGTTTACTACATTAAGTATCAAGTTCAAATACTGAAAATGGGGAAGAAACAACTGCAAAACTGTATGAGTAATAAGTTAGCCCCAGAGGTAGTTTGGGGAGGGTGTGAGGGAACATAGAGTTAGCTTGATAATCTTAGAGCTAATTCCCAAAGATAGAAGCTAGAAACACAAATACCCATCTAGGCTAATAATCAGGAATTTGAGTGAAAAGCAAATACTAGTTTCTCAGCTATTCTACTAATGAGTTCTATAATGTTTTGAATACTATCCGTTGGTAAAAATAAACACCAAGAAGTTAGCTCTTAACTCTTCACAGCATCACTTGACTTAATGTAAAATATTCTCTCTCTCCAAGCTCTCACCAGTATTTTTAAGGTCAAGCCAGAAGGCTAAAGCTGGTACCCATTACTGTATACCTTCCTCCCCAATCAACTACCCTCCAATTAGGAATGAAGTGTATGGATACCACACATGTTAAAAAAAGGTACTGGTTGGCTAAAAGCTCAGTTCACTAAAAACCCCGACTTATTGCTGCTGGCCCTGTGCTTGTTATAACTTAGTCAATACAGAATGTTACCAAATTATTTTGATTACTAATACTATAAAAAGTTCAATTTATTGGAAGTTTTATGTTTTTAATCCACCCAAAATCTAAAAAAAAATTGTTTAAAGATATTTTATGTTTCTTAAATGTACTTGTGAAGTTTGTAGTTTCTCTAAGATTATCTGTTTAAACTGCTTTATTCTGGCCAAAAAAAAAGTCTGAAATAAACATGGTAGAACCATCACTTGGGACCTGTTCTGAAAAGCAATTCAAAAATACATACTAAGGCCTTAAAAACGTTCACATCTTTTAACCCAATAGTCTGACATCCTTAGAATAATTAAAAGAAGATTTGAAAGGATAGACCCAGTATAAGAGTTTTAACTTTTAACCCAATAGTCTGACATCCTTAGAATAATTAAAAGATATGAAGGATAGACCTAGTACAAGAGTTGTTTATTATAATATTAGGTATAATAGCAAAAATAACAAGGTTCATATATAAATTAGGCCATATCCATTTCCTTTATGAAATATTATGCAGCCTGTTACTAACACTATTTTTTTTTTTTTTTGAGGCAGAGTCTCTGTTTGCCTGCTCTGGCATCACAGCTCACAGCAACCTCAGACTCTTGGGCTCAAGTGATTCTCTTGCCTTAGCCTCCCAAGGAGCTGGGACTATAGGTGCCCACCACAATGCTGAGCTATTTTTAGAGATGGAGTCTTGCTCTGGCTCAGGCTGGTCTCAGACTCCTGAACTCAGGCAATTCCAATCCACCTGCATTGGCCTCCCATCCACCTGCTAGAATTACAGGTGTGAGCCACCTTGCCCAGCCACAAACATTATGTGTCATCAAGGGAAAATGGGTATAACAGTATAAATGTATCTGTGTGACAAGAACAGAATATACCAAAATACTAATATCATTAGTGAAGCTTGGTGGGAGTATACTTTCTTTTAATGTTGGTATTTCTTAAAATAAATTTTCCAAAATATTAGTTTTTGGTTTGGGTTTTTTTTTTTGAGACACAGAGTCTTACTACATTGCCCTCAGTAGAATGAGTGCTGTGATATCACAGCTCATAGCAACCCCAAACTCCTGGGCTCAAGTGATTCTCTTGCCTCAGCCTCCCAAGTACCTGGGACTATAGGCACCTGCCACAACACCCTGGTATTTTTTGTTGCGGTTGTCAGTGTTGTTTAGCTGACCCAGGCTGGGCTCGAACCCGCCCACCTTGGTGTATGTGGCCAGCGCCGTAACTCTAAAATATTAGTTTTATCTAATTAATTTTAAGATATATTTATTTATTTATTTTTTTTTTTTTTGAGACAGAGCCTCAAGCTGTCCCCCTGGGTAGAGTGCCATGGCATCACGCTCACAGCAACCTCCAACTCCTGGGCTCAAGCGAGTCTCCTGCCTCTGCCTCCCAAGTAGCTGGGACTACAGGCGCCCGCCACAACACCCGGCTATTTTTTGGTTGCAGCTGTCGTTGTTTGGCGGGTCCGGGCTGGGGATTCGAACCCGCCACCTTAGGTGTATGTGGCTGGCGCCTTAGCCGGTTGAGCTATAGGCGCCGAGCCTTAAGATATATTTAACTCTAACAAGATATTTGATGATTCAGAGTTATCGTTAACAATTATGTGATTATTATTGTCTGATGACAGCATTTGGCTACGTTTAAAAAAAACTCAATATATTTTGGAGACACAGAAAATAGCTAGAGATTAAATGATATGATGATTAAGATCTATTACAAAATAATCCAAGTTTGCAGGTGGGAGAATGAAAGATGGGAACATAAAAAGACATTGGCAGGGTGATGATACTTGTTAAATCTGGGTAATTATTGTAGTTTTTCTACTTTTGTATAAATTTGAAGTTTATGGGAATTAAAATTTTAAAATTTAAAAGTGAAAAGCACTAATAAATACTACTTTGAAATTTTAAATATAATTAAATCCATTAATCTATCACTGAATAAAGACTAGAAATATCTCACATTAAGAGGATGTCAGCTGTTCAGAATTTTCCTTCATGTACTTCTGAGTTGTGACTTAAAAAAAAAAAACAGAGAAAAGGTAAATATTATCTTTATTATATCATCAAATGTAAAATGCTCCAATATTTTAGATACTACTAAAATACTGTCAATTATGATTGTAAATTGCTTTTTAATTTCAGAGATGTTACAAGGTAAAAAATTTGTGTACCTTAGAGTTGATGAAATATAGCAAATAATAGGTCAGATTCAGCCACTGGCCTTTTGTTTTCTGACCTGGGATCAGAGGATCTGATTATCTATTACAGATTTCATAATCTATAAGATGGAGTTTCATTTTTCTTTAAAAAATGAAAAAGAGATGATGATTTGTGAATGAGTTACCAGAAAGAAAGATATTTTCAGAAGGTTAACACAAAGCTAGTGAGCACTTATAAAGCTAGGCACAAAGTAAAGTTTTAGGAGCTGATTCAGACTTAGTTTACCCCTGATACTGACCACCCCCCACACCCCCAAAGTGGCAACAAAAAGGACAATGAACTGCCACTTCTATTTGAGTGTGCTCCCCTACCTCAAAAGCTCTTTTCCTATTGATTGATAAGTAAGTTTTGCAGTTAGGTAACCAAGAAGCACATTCAAAAGATCAATAGGCATTGTTCCTGCCTTGCCTAATTCCATTTTCTTTCTAACAAATGAAATTTTAAAAGGTTTTCTTCATGCTATTTCATGGAAATTTATCCAATATTTGGGCAAAGTTTTTCCCCAAAACTACATTATTGGCTGTAAATGTTTAAAAATATATCCAAATGCTCACAGAATTCAGGCAGTAACCTGTCATTTACAAATAGACAAAATAGCCAAAGCAAATGTTAAATATGCAATTTTAATTTGTACCAACTACTTTACTTTTCAAAGTAGGCTTCTCTTCTCTTCCGCAGCTCTTCTGAAGTAAGAGTTGTACCTGATGTCTGTGGAATGTCTTGAGATATATTTCTGGAACTACCTGAAAACAAAACAAAACACCCAAAAGAATCATTTTATTTACTAATTCAAATAACAGTAAGTTTACACTCATTTAAGCAAGCTCTTCAAATTTTATTTTTAAAACATATTGTTGCTACTACTCTATAAGAAAGGCTATGGGGCAGGACCCATAGCTCAGTGGGTAGGGTGCGGCCACATACACCCAGGCTGGTGGGTTCAAACCTGGCCCAGGCCAGCTAAACAACAATGACACCTGCAACAAAAACATAGCCAGGTACTGGCAATGTGGTGGGCATCTGTAGTCCCAGCTACTTGGGAAGCTGAGGCAAGAGAATCGCTTAAGCTCAAGAGTTGGAAGTTGCTATGAGCTATGATGCCATAGCACTCCACCGAGGGTGATAAAGTGAGACTCTGTCTCAAAAAATAAAAAAATAAATGAAAGGCTATGGAAGTCTCAGGGGAAATCTGATTAAGGCAGTCTAAATTTAATATATGTCCACTGGAACCAGTACTATAACCCATCTGTGAGGCATAAGATGTGAGGATGTAAGTCAAACAACTAACATGGTGAGAGAATTCATTAACACCACACTTGTGTGCTCTCTTTAAATTATTGCAGTTTTGTTTTTTTGTTGTTTTTTTTTTTTTGGCCAGGGCTGGGTTTGAACCTGCCACCTCCAGCATATGGGGCCAGCACCCTACTCCTTTGAGCTACAGGCACCGCCCTCTCTTTAAATTATTAGAAATGAATCTACACCTTCAAAATCAGAGTAGTTGGCATGGCCTGTAGCTCAGTGGGTAGGGTGCCGGCCACATACACAGAGGCTTGAGGGTTCGAACCTGGCACAGGCCAGCTAAAATAACAATGGCAACAACAACAACAACAAAATAGCTGGGCGTTGTAGCGGGCACCTGTAGTCCCAGCTACTTGGGAGGCTGAGGCAAGAGAATCGCTTAAGCCCAAGAGTTGGTGGTTGCTGTGAGCTGTGACGCCACAGCACTCTACCTAAGGCAACAGCTTGAGTTTGTCTCAAAAAAAAAACAAAAACAAAAACAAAATCAGAGTATTCCTCAAAGCAACAGAGAGTAGATGTCTTCAAAGCAACATAAAGTGGATGATGATAAAACAAATCCATTCTCTGGTCTCCTCTATCCTCAAACATTTGGGTATAACAACTTAAATGTTTCCATGTTCTCACCTGATAACTATTCTAACCAGAGGCTCGGTACCTATAGCACAGTAGTTACAGTACCAGCCACATACACCAAGGCTGGCAGGTTTGAACATGGCCCAGGCCAGCTAAACAACAATGACAACTACAACAAAAAAAAGCCATCTCTGTGGTGGGCGCCTGTAGTCCCAGATACTTGGAGGCTGAGGCAAGAGAATTGCTTAAGCCCAGGAGTTTGAGGTTGCTGTGAGCTATGACACCATGGTACTCTGTACTGAGGGCAACATTAGTGAGACTCTGTCTCAAAAAAAAAAAAAACTATTCTAACCAGAGATTCTACACGAATTATAAAGTGGCAAGAAGAATGATTATATAAAAATGCCTAAAATTGGCTTGGCACCCATAGCACATTGGTTACAGCGCCAGCCACATACACCCAGGTTGGTGGGTTGGAACCCAGCCCAGGCCAGCAAACAACAACAACTACAACAACAACAACAAAAATAGCCAGGCGTTGTGGCAGGTGCCTGTAGTCCTGGCTACTTAGGAGGCTGAGGCAAGAGAATCGCTTAAGCCCAGGAACTGGACGTTGCTGTGAGCTATGATGCCACGCACTCTAACAAGGGCACATAGTGAGACTCTGTCTCAAAAAAAAAAAGAAAAAAGAAAGAAAAGGCCTGAAATTATGAAAAGCTAACTTCTTCTGGCCATTACTGGGCTAATCCGGTAGGGTTCAATTAACCAAAAATGGGAGTGCACACCATATAGAATACTCAGAGTTGAGCCTAGAGGCAAGAAAAGTTCACGATAAAAATAATTTTCTTATTAATGGAATCTCAATTTTATTTATTTAAGGAATTCATTTAATGAATAATTTCATTAAAAAGCAGAAGCAAATTTTTCTGGCATTTGCTCCTCTTTTAAAAAAAATGGTGACTCAGTGTCCATAGCTCAGTGGTTAGGGTGCTGGCCACATACAGCTGGGCTGGCAGGTTCAAACCCAGCCCAGACCTGCTAAACAATGACAACTACAATATCAGAGAAAGTAGCCAGGCATTGTGGCAGGCACCTGTAGACCCAGCTACTTGGGAGGCTAAGGCAAGAAAATCGCTTAAGCCCAAGAGTTTGAGTTTGCTGTGAGTTGTGACACTGACACCATGGCACTCTACCAAGGGTAACATACTGAGACTCTGTCTCAAAAAATAATAACAAATAAAAAAATTTTTAAAAATGTAGAAGAAAATTCATACGAATTATATGAAATGAAACAACAGGTTGGGTATAGTGGTTCATGCTTATAATCCTAACATGTTGGGAAGCAGAAGCAGGAGGATCAGTTGAAGCCAAGAGTTTGATACCAGCCTGAGCAAGGGTGAGACTCCATCTCTACAAAAAATAGAAAAACAACAATTAATCAGGTATGGTAGTGAGCGCCTCTAGTCCCAGCTATTTGGGAGGCTGAGGCAGGAGGATCATTTGAGCCCAGGAGTTCAGGCTGCGGTGAGCTATGATGATGCCACTACAGGCTAGCCTGGGAAACAGAGCGTAACTCTGTCCCCCAAATAAAAAACTACCAAAAAATCCACTTCATACTTTTAATTAAGCCACTTTGAGATATGCCTCAACATTTTTCTCTGCCTAGATGGGCTTATAGCACTAAGACAGTGTGGGCCCACCAAAGTGGGCTTAAGCTTTATGTTGCATGCCAGTAAGTGTTGGATTGTAAAATCAAGTCCAGACCCTCCTGTCAAGTCCAATGAATGGCATACATTAATGAAAAAGCTAGTATGGGTAAGGGCCAACTAATACCCACAAAGATTAACCTCCCATTATTACTGTTAGTACAGTATTATAACCAAATAAAATAACTGAAAAGTGAAAATACAAATAGTTCTAATATACTATAGGTTGTGAAAAGTGATTGCCAGTACAAGAAATGTAATTGTCAAAAAACTACTAATGTTACTAACATCTAGGAAAACTAAAAAAAACCTGAATCAATTTTCAACAATAGATCAAATACACATTAAAGTCTCTATACCTTGCATACTTAGCTGAATAGCTCTGCGGAGATCTGCTTCTTCATCTTCCATGTCAACTTCTTGGCGACTTAGTGCCAGAGCTCTCTGTAAGTCCTCTTCATCTTCATCTAATGTTCCTGACCCATCATTTGCTTCTAAAACTCGTTCCAAGTCTGTTCTATGGACTCTAAAGAACAAAAGCAGTGATAACTACAGACCAGTGTTGTAGTTGATAAATAATACAAAGGTATTTGTAATCTAAAGATTTTACATTAAGTCAAAACCTAAACATTTTCTGACAGATAAGGTTTAGTAATAAAGATTGTGATGTAATTTGAATCTAATATATTTAAGTAATTCAAAGAGTTGATTCAAGTTCGAACCAATAAATTTCATTAAAACGTAAGCATCACCAAGAACAAAAGAACCACATACTCAAAGAAAGCATAAAAATGTAATTATTATGATGAAATACAAACACATATTCCATACTCTAGGCCTAATTCTCACCTTTGCTCTTTTAGTTGTGCTAATTCTTCTCCAATAAGTTTTGGTCGATGCATCTGTTGGACCCTGATCATCTGCAGTAGTTGGTCAGCTTCACAATCTGGCAGATCGCCCTTAACAACAAATATAGAATACCCTAAAAAGAAAACCCAAAAGGAAAAATTAACTGAAACAGCTAGTAAGAGATTCAAAACTGATTTAAAATGATAGCAGAGGAAGCACAGTATAATGGAAAAAGAATATAAGCTGAGGATTCTGAAAGCCCTGGATTCAGATAATGATTTTTACACTAACTAGCAGAGTAACCTAGGATAAGTTACTTAGTGAGGCTCAGGCCTCACTTTCCCCATCTGTAAGACCAGAGTGGCCATCTCATTGAGTGACTATGAAAAGTAAATAAAACAATGTCTGTAAAGGGCCCTATTAATACAGTGTTTGACAAAGTAGGCTACTCACTAAACAGTATCAGAGAGACAGGTAAAGGAGTAGATAAAAGCAAAGGATGTACGGGCGCACGGCCTGCAGACACGTGAAAAAGTGCTCACCGTCCTTAGCCGTCAGAGAAATGCAGATCAAGACTACTTTGAGATGTCATCTAACTCCAGTGAGGTTAGCCCACATCACAAAATCCCAAGACCAGAAATGTTGGCTTGGATGTGGAGAAAGGGGAGCGTTTCTGCAGTGCTGGTGGGAATACAGACTAATACGTTCCTTTTGGAAGGATGTTTGGGAAACACTTAGAGATCTAAAAATGGACCTGCCATTCGATCCTGCAATTCCTCTACTAGGTATATATCCAGAAGACCAAAAATCACATTATAATAAAGATATATGTACCAGAGTGTTTATTGCAGCCCAATTCATAGTTGCTAAGTCATGGAATAGGCCCAAGTGCCTGTCAACCATGGATGGATCAATAAATTGTGGTGTATGTACATCACAGAATATTATGCAGCCTTAAAGAAAGATAGAGACTTTGCCTCTTGCATGTTTACATGGATGGAGCTGGAACATATTCTTCTTAGCAAAGTATCTCAAGAATGGAAGGGGAAGCATCCAATGTACACAGTCTTACTATGAAACCAATTTATAGTTTTCTTATGAAAGCTATAACCCAATTAAAGCCCAACAAGAAGCGGAAAGGGGAGAGAGAGGGGAGGGGAGGGCAGAGGATGGGTGGAGGGAGAGTAATTGGTGGGACCACACCTACAGTGCATCTTACAATGGTACATGTGAAACTTACTAGGTATAGAATATAAATGTCTTAACACAATAACTGAGAAAATGTTGTGAAGGCTATGTTGACCAGTTTGATGAAAGCATTTCAAATTGTATGTAAAACCAGCACATTGTACCCCATGACTGCAATAATACACACAGCTATGATTTAATTAAAAAAAAAAAGCAAAGGATGTAGAATCAGATAGCCTGGGTTTACTTACTTATTTATATTTTAGAGATGGGGGTCTCACTATATTGCCCAGGCTGAAATGCAGTAGCTATTCACAGGTGTCATCATACCATATTGCAGTCTGGAACTCCTAGGCTCAAGTGATCTTCCTGCCTCAGCCTTTCAAGTAAGTAGCTGGGACTACAGGTCTGGGCCACCATGTTCCTTGACTGCCTGGGTTTAATTCCCAGCTCTTCCACTTCCTAGCTGCAAGGTTTCTTTAAATCACTAACCCATCTGTCTTGGTTTCTTCAGTTGTTTAACACATGACACTAGTATCTGCTTCATAGTTTGCTATAAGGATACAATCAAATAACGTGTGCAATAATGGGTAACCTAGGTATAATGAAAAATGCGTTAAAACGGGAAAACCAGAGCATGATGGATGGCCTTAGATTGATTAGACTTACTAAGGATTAGAGAAATTGTTAAGAATGATAAAAGGAGTTGAAACAGAAAAAGACAGTGAGTCAGATCCTAAAATTGTCAATGAAAAAAGAGGAAGCTCGTGGATGATTGCAAAAGGGCAGAGAGTAGTTTATTTCAAAAGAGCTGGAGTTCTAAGGAAGAATAGTGGCCTACAAGGGATGAGGAAGTACAGGAAGAATATCTACCCCTCCTGAGTCCTGTGGTATGTAGTGTTGAGAAGAAAAAAGCCATTACAAGCAGTCCCCAAGTTATAAACATCTGACTGATGTACAACTCACACTTACGAATGGAGGCTATCACAGGTTAATAGGTAAATGTACCTATTCCACCTTACATATAAAATTCAACCTAAGAACAAACCTATATAACTTATCTGTTCGTAACCTGGGGACTGCCTATACTGAGAAGGGCTGCAAAGAAAGCAGCATTCTCAGAGAGGCAGATATCAGTGAGAATTCTACAGCTCACACGAATCACAGCCTGAAGTTCACCAAGTCAAATATAAAGATTATTTCATTCCCAATGCCAGAAAAACAGTATGGTTAACACTCACAGCTAATAAGCCAGTTTTATTTAGCTACTCCCAAAGATAACATTTCAAAATTTGCAGTCTTTATTTACCTTCCTGTTGTAATTGAGCCAAGAAAAGGGCAAGGTACGTATCTGATATTAATTCTGGACCCGTCAAAAGAGAATTCAAGTTAAACCACTGTAAAAAAAAAAAAAATTGTCAATATTTAAGTTAGTGTACATTACAGATAGTAAGAAGTTTCACATGTTAAGAATAGATTCCGGCTCGGCACCTATAGCTCAACCGGCTAAGGC